CGGCCTCTGCCCGCATCTCGGCGCCGCAGCCCTGCACCTCTCCCGCCCTTGTCGCCGGGTCCGCAGTCCCGGGCACAGAGGAGGCAGTGGAGCTCTAGGCCACTGGTAGGTTGCAAGGGGACCGCGGCTCCATCTGCAACCTTTTGTGCCGCAGAAAAGGTGGTGGTGATGGGTGGTTGTGATGGTGGGGGGTTGCCCCAGTCACCGATCCTTGGTGCCAGTCCCAATCACGGCGCCGCCCCTTCCTCTTTGCCTCGTGTCCGGGCCGGGCGCGCAGTGTATGCGCAGTGCTGGGGAATCCCGGCCGGGCTGGCCTCCGGGATGGGTGGCGGTGCGACCTCAGTGTCACTGGCCTTGGCGGGCCGGTTCCCCCGCACCCGTGTAGGGTTCTGAGCTCTGGGTGAACTGGGTGGGGCCCGCGCTAGTGCTGGGAGCCCGCAGTCCTTGGCACAGGGGTGGGGCTGGAGACGCCGTGAGTGTGCAGCGCGTGTGAGTGAGTGTGCGGGGGCGTGCGCCCCCGTGTGCGCGCGGCGTGCGCTCGCCAGGGAGGTGCGGGGATTCAGCGAACCCGAGCGCCTCTCCGGCTGTGCCGCGGTGCGGAAGTCTGGATGCGTTGGCGCGCGTGTTAGCCTCGGCCGCGGTGCCCTTACTGCGGGGCAGCAGGCCTGGGGACCCCTTTGACAAGTAGCTCTTTCTAGGCCTGCTGCGCCTCTGGCCGCGCCCTCTGTGGTGCGCAGGGTGCCACTGCCCGGGTCAGATAGCGCTTAGGGGGTGAGCCTCCAGGGCCTTATCTCACCAGCCTTCCTAGCCCGTGCTGCAACCTTCGCCGAGGCCGTCCGAGTCCGCTGGTGCGGCTGGGGTGGACGGGCAGTTGTGGCCCTGTGCGCGCCTGTGGATTGGGCCCGGAGCTTGCCAGAAAGGAAAGCGGCAGATGTCGTTGGTCATCGCCGCCCTCGCCCCACCTGTCGCGGGTGGACTTTGGGGCGGGTGGTAAGCGTAGGAAAGGGATTTCGAAGCGGTCAGCAGTCAGACCTTGAGTAGCGGCCCCATTGTGAAGCTGCCAAACTCTCTCTAGCGGTGGAATCTGCAAATCTCTGCCAGAATGGAGATGAAAACGCGAAGGGAATGGTGGCCCTGTCCTTTTCCCCTTGCAAGTGTTCCACATCCTTAGGGACTCCCTGCTTCTCCACCCACGCCAGTGTGCACCGGGTGGGTTTGTGATTTGTGTCGAGCCAAGATTTCTGTGTGTTTATGCGTATGTGTGAGGCTGTGGTGCACAGGTAAAACGGGAGCTGGGAACTTTTTCATCATTCAAAGAAAATGAAGAATGGAGGCAGTAGCATTTTGTAGTGTGCTTGCCACTCCTAGCCGAAAGAACTGTTCTTGTACAACGTTTCTGACGTTACTAAACTATTCATTTTACATTATGTTTTTCAAAAACTAGCCTATAATTTCTGGTTGTTCGTTACTTTGCTTTTCTTTTCAATCCTGTGAAGCAGAATAGACAAGGGGAAATAGAAATGACACCGTCCCAAAGTTTATTTGCCCAGTCATTTCAGAATACAGTGTTGGTTATTATTGCAGAAGTTTTGGATACTTTAGTAACTCAAGGACACAATTTATGCGAACACGACTATGTTTAATGAGTAGTTCACATACTTCTTTGTATTTATTATGTAACTGTTCATTATAAGCTTTAAATGTTCAGGTGAAAGGTAAGAGTTAATGAGCACAGGAACCTCATAATTTGATATGCACTGGTATGTAGAATGTTTTTCTACCAGTTTTGGTTTATCTAATTGTGGTTGAGACTTTTAGTGTTAATTATTCCACAGTATAAGATACATTTATTGACTTTGCGTAACAGTGAAGTTGCTTATTTTCTGTGTATCTCCGTAAATTTTGGAGAGCTCTTTTAATATTAACTCAAACATATTTGGCGTAGTTGGAATAATAAAACTTTATATATATGATTTAAAATTTCTTTGATGAGTTGTAGTTGGTAGGGCGGGGGGGGGGGTGTCAGCTTATTTCTACCTGAAAGAAGTTTGATTTATGTCATCAGGCTATCAAAATGAGTACCTGGCTTTAAGCTTTCCTTTGGGAGGTTAGTCCCTCAGTGTACACCTTTCCCTTTCATTATGTTTGGAAGACGCAGATTTTTAAAAAGACTGTGTGTAAATGTACAGTTCCAGTTATTGTCTGTCATATTTGCAGTGAAACTGAATATTTTCTCTAAAAGTAGAAGGATGACTTCACCTGGTAAGAAGATATTAGTAACCTGGGTTAATTTTTACTAGCAGAAATGGAATGAAAATGAATGCCACATTTTTTTTTTTTTGAAGGGAGTTGCTATTAAAAGAACCGATACTAGAAAGAGAAACACATTTTTTTTTTTTTTGTCTTACTGAACCAATTATGGCTTGTCTTACCATGAAGTTAATGGTTTGTTTGTAAGGTCAAGGATGGTTTTAGAAAAGTCACACCCTACTTAACTCTTCTTTAAAACCTTGGATGATTTAAGTTTTGCAAATTGCAAATGGTAAAGTGAGATTATTTGAAAGTATCCTCTAAAATGAGCATGTAGGTACAGATTAACTTTTTGATGTTGTTTTTTTAAAAAACACATGTATGTTTTACTTTGGTAATTAGTCATTTTGTTTCTTTCCAATTTGGGATATTTTGGTGCATCTCTCCCTTACTTGTTTTAGAGTAGTCTTTAAGATTACAAAATATTTCTACTAGTCTGAATGGAATTTTTTAAAAAATGTACTTTCTTCAAACTGCTTTTAAAAAAAAAATTGGCCTCTTCTTAAATAGCCACAGTGAGAAATACTGTTTCCATAAAGAAAAAAAAAAAAAGTTTGGGAAGCAAGAATTAAAACCTCACTTCCACTCTACTAATTTATTGGCCTAAAATTCATCTTGCTTTTCTTAGTGCCATCTTTAATGATTAGTGAGATTTATTTACCAAAATTCAAAATGGGTGTGTGGTGGCCTTCCTATTGATAACCTTATCATTTTTCAATAACAGATTTTTAATTTTTTTTCTTCTTATTTTGGTCATGGGCCTATGCTGAAGCCTCAGATTTAAGGGTGTGTGTATAGGATTTTGTGGGGACCTGAACATTTCAATGTAGGCTTCCTTTATTTGGGAGAAAAAAATCTCATTTCTGGTTTCTTGGTATTATTCAAGTTTACTTTTCTCTGTGTTAGATTTATGTATTTCCATTTCTTTGTGTGTTATTCTCTTTGGCCTAAGTTTCCACTTTTTATATTTGCCCCAGTCTCTGAGATATATATTTGCTGAGATATTTAGTAAGATTCAAGAGATATTGTTGAATGACTAAGTGAACATTTGAATGTCCTGAGTGGGTACAAAAAAGTCTTCCTCAGACTTGGTGGAAAGCCACTGTACAAGCAAAGAGATGTTTCTTCCTTTAAAAAAACAAATCCATTGCCTTTATATAACTATGTATCACATTTGAGTAGGATAACAATATAATTGCCATTCTGGGACACTTTTGAGAGTTAAAGGGGATAACTGTAAATAATCATGCCAGGGGGTACTGACTGTGAATGAAGGCATACAATCACATCTACTTTTGAAGGACTTTCTTCTTTAACTGTGATCATATTTATCTCCTTACCTGAGAAATTGGACTCAACTTGCTAGTTAATGTTTGCAAACTTTTCTATTTGTAGAATCTTCATTTGTATGAGGTTGTTGGGTGCCTTTGGCTTAGTCATCTGTGGCTTCCCTATCCAGATGCTTGTGGGCAGCTTGTAGCTGCCCTTAATTTTTCTACTTTTCATTGTTTACAGGATAGTGACCTTGGGCTGTTCTGTTTGATTCAGCTTCTCTTTGCTGGAATCATTGTGTCCTTTAGCCTTGGCTCTACTTTCTTCAATCTGTTTCTGTGTAACATTTAGTGCCTATCTAAGAATTTCATGTAGGACCTTCCTCTTGCTGCTGGTGACAGGAGATCCATTGATAGATACCCTTCCAATCCTTCATGCCAGGATGAGGCCATAGCCATCTGCAAGTGTTAGAGGTTGATATGTTTTTAAAGTATACTAAGAATGGGTGTCATTGGAAAGACATTTGGGGGGACATTTATATTACCATCTTTTAATTCCTGTTTATAGGAGATGGGGGTAAAACCCTTAGTATAATTTTGTGGTAGATTTCTTTATAGGAAATCTCTTACAGAGGAGGTTTTTGTTGTTGTTGTTTTATTTTGTGATTTCTTACCTCACTTTTTTTTTCTTTTTCACCATCCTTGTCTGCCTCCTCCTCTTGGTGCCTGTCAGGCATACTCAGTTAACACACAGCAGAGAGAGTGGTGTGAATAAACACCAGGACTGGAGTGGAGTGTCTCACCTTGGTTTCCCTTGAGTTGCTCCCTTGGGTACTGTTTGTCTTCTATTCTTGACTTGGCACCTGTATAACAGGGACAATCAGTTATTACACTTTAATTTTCAGTCTAAATTTGTAAAACTCTAAATGAAATCTGTCTTACTTTGTGATAAATGTAGCCCTGAAAAGTGAAATGAAAATACTTATCTATATTTGGCCCAACTGTATAACCAGCAAGTATTGACTGAAACTTTTCCCCCCATGCCTTATAGTTTATGATTTAAAAAATAGCTTGGAATTTCTAAGAAGTCCATGATTTATGAAGGATTCTGTATAATACCCTCCACTATGTATCTTAAAGTCTTAATGTTTTTCAAGTTAGAAATAACCTGAGAGCAAGTAGTAAAAACTACCTCCCCCAACCATTTCACAAATGAGGTATTAAGCTTTTAGATAAAGTACCTCCTCAAACATTTAAGATAGGATTCCACTTTTAAAATGAATAAATACACATTTTTCAGAAACATGATTGTTATTTTAAAAGATTGTGTTTATAACTGACCAGAGGCCACAGAGGCATGAAAACGAGGAAGGGCTTTGGAGCCAGACAAGGTGGGATTCAGTTCAGTCCTACACTGACTCTCAAATAGTCTCCTTTGATCAAATATTTAAAGTGGGGATAGTAACTTCTATCATGGAATGAAGACTAAATGCCATAAATAACTTTTTTTGGCATAGAGAAAAAATAAGAATATTGGTTTTCCCATCGAAAATCTACTTACTGTAGATATCAATGTGACCCTTATAATGATAATATTGAGGAAACTCTTTGGGGGTAATTATATAAAGTAAAAAAATTTACCAATAGGTGTCTATTTTTGCTACATTAAAATTCACTTTATGTTAAAACCAGAGGCTTCGTCGTTGAGCTAGAACCAATTCTTAATTATCTAGATTTCTTGGTTACCCACTTTGAAAATAGTTTCAAAATAGTGAAAGGTAACATGTCATTATTCACATCCAGTGAAATTCCAAAGGCTGATCAACACAAGTTCTTTGGAATGATGTTTTTGGTGCATGAACTCCTTCCAGTTTCTGGAACTAAAGAAACAAATACCATTAATTTAGTAAAGTACCCATTTCCTTTGGCTAAAACTTATCTGTGTTAGAAAAATAATCAGTGACAGCTTCCTTGCCTTTTCCCTTATAGTTTCTCTTCAGTTTGAGAATGCTGTACAGTTCTGTTAACACTTTTCCAGCTCTGTGCCTGCATTGGTAAAATCAATCAACTCATTAATCCCCGCCCCCTCCAGTTTCCTTTCCCCCAGCTGAACACAAAAAAAGAATACTCAACAACCCAAGAAACCTTTACAGGTGGAAAAGAGCTTTGGAGAATTTTCTTGATCTCAACACATTAACCCAATTAACAGGGGAGTCAGGAGATAAAGATAGATTCTCTTACACATTAATTCCCCAGTTAAGAGGGGAAAGGCGCAGAGGAGATGCTAGAAACCTTAAGTAAGGTAGCAACTGAAAAGAAGTGAAACAAGTTTTTTCTCTGTCTTAAAAAATATTTTCCAAGAGCTTCCCAATCACTTACTTCACAGCAATCTTATAAAGAATTTTTATTGTTGCTATATATGGCTCAAATGAGTAGACACCAAAAATTAATTGCTTAATAATAACATCACACATCTGTAAAGGGCTTTGCAGCATGCAAAACACGTTCACCTACCTCATTTCATTTGATCCATGTAACAGCTGTATTAAGGAGGAAGGGTGGTATTATTGGCCTCATTTTAAAGATTGCTATTTATGCAAGGTCAGGAGACAGAGAGTTCTTAGCAAGGCCAGCACAAAGATCCCCACTCTTCCCTTGCTTTCTTAAACCCCAGCCTCAGCATTCTGTTTTCCTATAGAATACTATTAATCTGGTAACTGCAATAGGACCAGGATGGTAAAAGGAACATGGTAAGCCCCTAACTTTTCTTGTATCTTTATTTAGCTTCATTAGATACTCTTAGACTGTAGGTACAGTTTACCAGCAGAATACTGGGAACAAGCATGGTAACATGTTTGAGGATTCATTTAGCTGAATAAACTCAAAATTACTTTTTAATTGAATTAATTAGTTATTATATTCTATATAATCTGTACCTGATACTACCACCTGCTAGTTTCATCCTGTTTTGCAGTTAGAATGCACATAATTGCTTTGTAAATTGTGTTACTTGTTAAATTACAGGTTTATTTTTGTATTTCATGTTTAGTATCTGGAGTAGAACAGAAAAATTATTATGCCTGTGCTCCTTTGGGACTCTTTGGAAATTGTACAGTGACATCTTCTGGGATTTAGTCTGGTGAGTTAAAGTTTGCTTTTTCTGTTTGTTAACTAGTTGAACGTGAACATGCTATCATAATGTGCTTTGAGGATTATATAAATAGGTGAATATGCAATGTCAATGTATTATTGCAAATGTCTGTACTACAATTACAAAGTTTTTAATGGTCAGAACTGAAATTAGGATTGCAGTATGCTAACATTATTAAAATGTTTGATTCTTTGAGTATATTTTAAAATTTCTGCAAAATGAATACATAATTTTGGAATACTATTTTAGAACATATAGTAGTTAAAGATAGTTGCTATAGTTTGGGGGAAATTTTAGTAAAAACATTAATCTACAAATGTAGGCGAAACAATCTGCAAAAAGTTCTAGTTGAACATACATAAAAGATGTCTAACAGGTGGAGGAAAGCAGAATCATTTTCACCTGATTATGTCACTGTTTACTGCCAGTGTGGCATTCCTCTTAGCACACTGAATTAAAACTTTTAAAAGTATGCAATGATGTCGTCTCCCCCCACCCCCATGTGTCATCTGTGTGTTGACATAGTTGTCTGTGTGACTTCAGGTCTTTGAATGGGGGAAATAGTAATGATCTTTGTAGCTCTATATTTTTGTGAGTCTGTGCTTTGATATGTCATTCTGCTTGGCCACTACCTTTGTAGGTCCTTGCTTTGAGTTATTTGAGTTATTTAGAGAGGTCATAATCCTTGGAAAATGCAGTTTCATAATAAAGAGATTTCTAAATTAGCAATCAGCTGAAGATTGATTCAGAGAAATAGGGAGAAATAAATGCCAATTACTATTAAGAAGATGTACCCAATCAAGTTTATAAAATGCATTTTAAAACATTAAAAAAATAGAAACACTATTAAAATTTCCAAGTTTCAGGACAAGAGCAAGAAGTTTGAAAAACATAAGTATGAGGTACATTTAGAGGATTTTAAATAAGAAATAATTTGACTGGCTCACTAACTCACCCAGTTGAAATAAAGCACAAACCTAGGAGTGGGTAGAAACTAAAGGAATATATTGGTGTGTGTGTGGCTATGTCTACCTCTATGCATATATGTGTTTGTTTATGTTATACTTGAATGTATATGTTATATTGTAAGTCAAGTAACATTCTAGCAGATTTACAAAAGGTAAAATGAATCAACATAGGAGGCAGCAAGTTTTCATGTCATTGAAGGTGATCAGACATATATACTAGATAACCTTTAAGATTCCTTGTGGGGAGGGGGCTGGTGTTGTGGCTCAGAGGTAGAGCAACTAGGCAGTTAGGCACAGGGTTCGATCCTCAGCACCACATAAAAATAAAGATATTGTGTCTACCTGTAACTAAAAATAAATATTTTTTAAAAAGATTCTTTTGGATTCTAAGATTGTACAGTCTAAAATATTATAAAGTTTGGAGGACCATCTTAAACTTGGAAATATATGACAAAGACGACTTTCATTTTTTAATGTCAGTTGTTTTGGGGAGGCGGGGGCGGGGCGGTTACTGGAGATTGAACTCCCCGGACACTCAGCCACTGAGCCACATCCTGAGCCCTATTTTGTACTTTATTTAGATAATGGGTCTCCCTGAGTCCTTAACCCCTCGCTTTTGCTGAGGCTCAGCCTCCTAAACTGCTGGGATTACAGGTGTGCACGACGTTGCCCAGCTAATGTCAGATTTTTGAAGTAAAACTTACATATAGTAAAATTCAGTGGATTAAAAACAATACATTAGGAGGAAGGCCTTAGGGATAGGTTGTTAGTGATTATTAGTGAAAGAGGAAAAAATTATGTCTATCAACATGACTAAAAAGACATGGGAATTTAAGGGAGTAAAAATCTCTTTAATCTGATTAATTTCAAATTATAAAAAAAAAAAGCAGGTGCTTGGGTTAAATTCTCCTATTGATGTGCTTTATATACAAGTTCCCAAACCTCAATGCATATTAGAGTCACCTGGATTCATTTTAAAATGTAAGAGCCCAGATATACCCCCATTCAGTTAAATTACAAATCTAGGTAAAATATAGATAACAGTAATTTTGAAGCTCCTTGGATGATTTCAATATGTAGACAAGTTTGGGAGCCACACACTAGAATCATGCATGATGAATAATCATGTATTAGATTTTGAGCCGGGAGACTTGGGTTGTAGTTATGGCCACAAACTACTCTCATGGCTGCAGGCAAGCCCTGGTCTTCATGACTTTTATGTCAACTTGTCTATCACTCCAACTGTAGAGCTTCCAGGTGGGTGAATTCCAAGTTATTCTGGCATCAAGACTAGGTGATTCTGGTCATCTCTAGACTAATATTAGTCATGTTTAGAAGATCCCATTTCTCAAAGAATGACTCCATTCTGAATGGTTTATTTTAGGTATTTATTTTAGGTATTTAAAAAAATTAAACAAAACCTATTTATTTGTTTCCATGTGGAAAAACCTGGAAGTATCCCTTCAATCCTGCCCTAGGTATTTTTTTTTCACTTGGCTATTATGTTTATTTTTATTTTTTATTGGTGCATATTTCACTTCAGGTTCTTCTTGAAAAGGATTTTATTAACATTATGACTTTGTTTTAAATGTATAAGATGGTTATGTTCATATCTGTTTCATGGGGTATGGCTATATGTTGCTAAGTACAGTTAAAGCATAGGAAGCAGTTTTTGTTTGTTTGTTTGTTTTTTTACTGGTAGTGAAATTTTTGATAAGCCTGATTCTAAAAAACATTCTAGAATACAATAGTTTTCAAAAAGCAGTTTCATAGCAGTTATGAAACATATGAACAATTTTTCAGAGCTAGTCTATGGAACTAAGGCATCTTAGTTACAGTTCTAGAATATTATAGGAAGGTTGGCTTTCTGGAGAGTGTTCAGGCTGTGCGGATTCCAGGCAGGTTTTGGTGTGACTGCTCATTCTATTGACTGATCATCCTGGCACAGGAGGATCCTCTAAACAAGTGGTGTTTTGGGGGCCTGTTTGCTTTTACTCTCAGCCAGAATACTCCTGTTAGGATGATGTGTGTTGTTCCTGATAATCTAAAAATGTCCATCATGTATGTTTTTCTAGTATATATAAATTTTATTTTTCTTTTGTTTAAGAAAATTTGAGTTTTAAAATTTTCTTTTCAAGAAATATCTAAGTGCAGTAGTATGAGATATTTGAGGTCAATGAACGGATATGATGTCCTTTTCATTTATCTTTTCTCTTTGGCAAAATATTATCCTTTGGGCATATTTTCTTCCTTTCTTCTTCAGTAACTTCTGTTTATAAGCAGTAGAGTAGAAACAGGCACTTTCTTGGTGAGTAAGTTGTACTTTAAAAAAATTACATAAATTTTTAGTTTTATAAGGTAATAAATACATTTCCCTTATTAAAAAATGGGGGGAAAATGTTTAAAGCTTTGTGGTAGAGCTATAAAAACTTAAAACACATATATTCTTTTACCTGGAAATTTTACTTTTAGAATTTTTTTTTAGAAATATATTTTCAGGTGATTATTCCTAGTATGTGATTATATATTTTTTTTTGTAGAAGATGTATTAAGAGAATACAGCAAAAATAGACTTATCCAAGTTGGTATAGGGATCTAACAACAGGTCTCTGTGTCTTTTGACATCTCAGTTAAAGCTTTAGAGAGTTGAAATACTTTTAATATACATAATAGGAAATTGTTAAATCACTTAATTCTTTATTATATGAAATACTACTAGGATGCAGTATTCTCTGAAAGAATTTTTGAATAGCAGTTTGGAAACTTCCGAGCTATTTTCAAGGCTGGTCTAAGGAACTAAGGGCATTTAGATTATATTTCAAGCTATTGTTACTTATGCCCAGAGTATAGGAGGTTTGGACTCTTGGAGAGTATTCAATGACTATGCAGATTCCATATATAGTCAAAACCATTTGAATGTTCTCATTGTGATAGACTAGGTTCCCCTGCACACATGTATCGTGTGTGTGTTGTAGTTTGGACCTTTTGCTTTATTTTCAGCCAAAATTCACAATTGCATGCTATACTCACTGCTTTAAACATGTACTGTGTGTGTACATTTTTTCTAGAATTAGTATTATCTTGTCTAGCGTTGTCTAATTGAATCCTCATGTATTTCAAAAAAATACAGTAGTACATACTACCACTGCCAGGTCTTTCATACTTTATAAATAATTCAGTGCTATTATTACTGGTTGGATTGTGAAGAAATTTGATGTTGAAGATTTTTAGGTGTCATTTAAAAAATCATATTTGCTTTTAGTACTTGTTTTAAGAAGCTCAATTTTGGGCCGGGGATGTGGCTCAAGCGGTAGCGCGCTCGTCTGGCATGCGTGCGGCCCGGGTTCGATCCTCAGCACCACATACAAACAAAGATGTTGTATCCGCCAAATACTAAAAAATAAATATTAAAAAAAAATTCTCTCTCTCTCCTTCTCTCTCACTGTCTCTCACTCTCTCTTAAAAAAAAAAAAAGAAGCTCAATTTTAAAAGCATAATTTCATTTTCTGTTTTACATTCTTTTTGTCCATAGAAATTTTGCTGCTTTCCATAGAAATTTTGTTGTTTCTCTTACTAAAACTTTAACACTTCTTTTTCTATTTTGGCTCCAGTCTATTTCCTTAAACACATGTGAAAAGCACTAATGGAAAAAGAAGGCATCGTGGGTCTTTAATTTTTAGTGGTCACAAATGCAAAAGTTAGCATCAGGCCTGATTTCTTGATTTACTGTTTGTTGGTGCAGTGGAAGTCCTGCTTGTTGCTCATTCTTGTGGTGATGCTTGCAAGAGCACTTTGTAATCCTTTATCATGGCAGTGTGCTTTTGGGATACAGGTTTATTTTAGAATATGAAACAAAATGCTGAATTATGAATAGGCTTGCTAAAAATACCAAGCCTGTAAGCAGTTTTTTTCTTGATAAAACCTGAGGAATATGCTGCTAAACATAAGCTATCTCCAGTTACAGTCACTGTAGTTTTATTTCCTAATGAATGCTTTTTAATACAAAATTGGGAGCTGGGGTATATGTAGTTCAGTTGTAGAGCACATACACACCCAATATACAAAAAGGCCCTGGGTTTAGTCCCCAAGGGGGCAGGGGGGAAAAAAGGAAAGGAAAGGAAAGGGAAGGAAGGAAGGAAGGAAGGAAGGAAGGAAGGAAGGAAGGAAGGAAGGGAGGGAGGGAGGGAGGGAGGGAGGGAGGGAGGGAAAATGAATTTTGCTGTGGAAAATATTGACCATTCATATATTAAGATATCATGCTGGTCAGGCACAGTGGTGCATACTTGTAATTCCAGCTGCTGCAGGTGGGGGAGGGAAGATTATCTCTTTTTGAGACTGTGCATTTTTTACTGTTATTTTTTAGTTAAATTCTGGAATTAGAAGGTACTTAAACTTCTTCAGGTGGAGAAGTACCTAAGCAGATTCTAGTTTAATAAACAAACAAAAAATTTTAAAAAATTGAAAAGTTGATTCTCTAACTTTCTGAGGATTTTGCCTCAGTATTTAAATTCAGTCAAGAAATTCTTAGGAATTTAATAACAAAATGTTTACTTTTCAGTTACATTGAATGCTTAGTAAGCATTCTGTCCAATTAAAAATGAAATATTTACCAAATCAGAGCTCTCTTTGCTGAAACCCAACCTCCATCTAGCTTTCTTAGAGCTACCCAGTAGGTGTCCTGAGAAGGGCAATATATAAGTAAAAGGATCCTTTTAAAAAATGTAAGCCATTTGTGAGAATCCTGGTTCTAGCATTCATGTTCCTATAGAATATCAAGACATGAAGATGCTCTTGTTCATATGGTGATAGACACTACAGAGATCAATGAAACCACCCAAAAGAGCTATTTTAAGAATACATTGTTGTTTGGTGCAAAAGGACTGATGTTTAATATCTAAAAAGTGCAGTGTTCTAACTCTTAGAATTGCTTGTCAGAAATTCAGCAGGTAGCAGCTGTATATGTAATATTTAAAATGAGTCTTTTGTGTTTCAATGCAATGAGAATCCCATTCAGAAATTTCTTCCAGAGTGTGGACCTGTTTTGCATTGGCTTTAGTTGTTAGGTTACATTTTTATGTCAGAGGATATTAAAATCCTTATTTTTAACGTTATGTTTAAGTAGTATTTTCTCTAATGAGTATGTTGTCTGTTGTCTGCCTCAGTAAAGTATAGGTTACTTACACCAAGCTGCTTGGTTGAAATTTCTAAAGAACTTAAACCATGTATGTTTCTTCTATGTAACAACCCAAGTTAAACTCTTTTCTCCCAGGTAGATATCTGAAGATCTGTTTAAATAGTTTTGCTTGACTTGGGGAATATTTCCTTATGGTGTTATTGCCTATTGGAGACTTAAGTGATGTTACTTATCCATCCAACAGCATATGTATTTCATGCTGCATCTGTGAACATTATACATTTCTTAACTTACTTTCTTCGCTTTTCTAGTTTCCCAGATACTTATTTGCTAGCCAGTATGTCATTTTTCCTATTTATTTAGACCCTTATATCTTGCCATCTTTTACCTTCAACATGAAAGATTCTATGAATTCCCAGTTGTTTGTCTTAGTACAGCAGGACTGGTTTAGTGTGGGAAGAAACTTGATGGCTCTATTGACACAGAAGCTTGTGTTATCTCTTCTCTTTCTCCTGTTCCTTCCCCTCCTCTTCCCCTTCTCCTCCTCCTTCTGCTCACTCTTTGCATGTGTGTGGTACTGAAGATTGAACCCAGGGATGCTCTACCACTAAGCCTTATCCCCATCCCTTTTTACTTTTTATTATTTTTTATATTTTTTGGTACCAGGGATTGAACCCAGAGGGCACTTTACCATTGAGCTCCATCCCCAGCCCTTTTTGTTATTTTGAGGTAGGGTCTTGTGGGGAGCTAGCCATGGGCTGTGTGTGTGAACTATGAGCATGGGTACATGAGTGGACTGGACTGATGATGATGCCTCTCATCTGGCTGGTGATGTATGTGTCCTTTTCACTCACTCTGCCTATGATCCCCACACAATACATGAGATGGTGTGGCCTTTCAAGATGTCAATCAATCTGCTGACCACAAGACATCAGGAAGCTAGACTCAACCCTCTGAAACCTGACCCCCCCTTCATTGGGGTGGAACTTTCTCCAATGTCTTCCCCACAATAAAAAGGGAATGGTTTCCCACCCCCACCTTGTTTGTCTGCCTCCCTTGTGGGAGCTGGAGGAGAGGGGAGGTCACTGAAGAATCCCAAGAAAAAGATTTTTTCTCTGTCTCGGTGTGATTATTTCGTGCCAGCCCATTTCACCTGGAGTGACCCTGAATGACTTAGTTATGTATGGAGACAGGATCTCACTAAGTTACTTAGGCCTTCTAAGTTGCTGAGGATGGCCTCCAACTTGCAATCCTCCAGTGTCAGCCTCCTGATTCACTGGGATTATAGGCATGTTCCACTGAGTGGCCCTTTATATTTTTTTAAATTGAGATGGTGTCTTGCTAAGACACCAGGTTGGACTTGAGCTTGAGCTCCTCCTACCTATGCCTTCTAAGTTGAGAGAATTACAGGAGCGTGCTATTGCACCTGGTTGCTCATTCTTCTTTACTGCAACTTTGTACACTGTTGATTTGCTTAGCAATTATTTCCTTCTTCAGCAAAAGAGATGAATTTCAGACTAGCATTGATAAGAATTATTAACCTAATTTAGAATGGGTGTGATCTGAATTCATAGATTTTAAGTTCTTTCTAATATAACAAATGAGAATGAGGTGGTTGCTGGGAATCTGTGGATTCTTGTGAATAGTCACATTTGGAAGGGACCTAGATGAGTGTCCCACTACCTGCCTGTGGAGATCATTGCTTGAGTGTCACTCTCTTGGTAGCTTGTTGGGCATGTGCATGTAATCTTTATGTGGACCTGCCATTTCCTCATGGCCTGGGTTATTTTGCTTTATGACCATCCCTTCCTTGACCTTCAGAATGAACATCAGAGAAGCAGTTCCTACCTGTAGCTGCCAGTCAGGTTATATGGGTCAGAGGCCTTGGATCTGTCTTCTTGTGTTCTTTCAGGGCCATAGAATTGGGGATAAAGGAAGAATTAATTTCTCATTTGGCTAAATGTTTTTGTTTAGCCTAAAACTATGGTGATGCTTCACATGGTCCTTGAAAGTTTATTAGCTGGGAAATATTATTTTATGCATATCAGAGTACCTATATCAGTCACTATCCTGATCCTTCCCACAAAAACAAATTACACAATGGAATATAAATTTAGTTTACATTAATAAAATATGACGAGGCCACTTATTTTAAATCTAGAAGGGTTGAGAGGCTAGGGCATTTTTGTAAAATAGAAATTGGAAATAGTATAAGGTTTAGAGTAAATAGTGATCCCTGTATTGATCCCTTTGACATTTGCTTTGCTTCAGGAATCATTATGAATGTTTGTTTTCAGTTGTGCTGTAGATGGGGACCATAGTAAGAACAAGAATGGCATCTGGTAACTTCACAGCCTTTTAATAAAGGAAGGTAGAGCATGCAAGTGGAGAAATAAGGTTTCATTTTGTTTTTAGTTTTTCAATTGGACTTTGAAGTGAATATAGAGCTTAAAGAAATGCTTCAATTAGGAAATAGTTACTTGTTTTGTGAAAGAATTCGTAAGAATTATGTTATGTCGTATCCTTTTTCTGTAGATTTTGCCATCTGAAACTCAGTTTTTGACATTTTGATTAGTGATCTGAGATACTTTAACACTGTAACCTACTTCCAACTGAAGATGAAGTAGAAATCAAGTTTCTCAGAAATGACACTGTCACTATTTCCCTTAGTGTCTGGTTTTCAAAATTTGTTTTATCTGTGACTTTATGGGAACCTAAAATACTTGTGCTACTTCTTGTCAGTGGGTCCTCTCCAAACGGTGTAATGTGATAATTGTAATGAACATGTTAGTATTCATTTTGAATCATTCTGGCTATTTATTAAACTATTCAAAAGAATGTCTGAGGTATTGCAGACTATCTCAAATCATGCTATGTTTTATGATTAAAGAGCCATGTAAAATGACATTTAATATTTTATATACTTTTAAAAATAAAAAATTCCATGACATTGAATTTAGAATTAACTTGTGAACTATAAAATGATTTTTAAAAATAATTTATTGAGGATGTAGAAGGGACAACATTTGCAGTGTTTGGGGGAACCTTCTTCAGAGACTCCTCCATACCCTAAAAATATATATTTTCAGGTCTAAATTGGATTCTTCACAAAAACTGACCAGCTTGATCAATTGTATAATATTGGCTCTTAAACACAATTGAATGTAATTTCAGGTATAAAGAGCCAACCACTTACATGAATTTAAATGAGGAAAAAAATATAATTCTCAAGTTGAAAATACTTTGAAAATTCTTGTGAAACTTTCTCTGCTTGCTTTTATTTGCTTAATGTTGAGATCTGGATTTGATTTGCTTCATTTTGTATCAAGGAGCAAACTTTATCTGGTTGCAGGGTGTATTAGTACTAGAGTATTATTTTCTGTTTGTGTTTTTATATCTTCTTTTTCATAGTACTTCAGGCTTTTGTTTAATCTGCTTGAGTTCTTGCAGGCAGAGAGGTAGTGGTCCTTTCATTTGCCTAAATGTCCAGTAGACATGGAGAAAAATCTGTCAATTTGTCGTCGGCTACCTTTCAGATGAGTCTCATTTCATGGCTTCCTGACTTCTAAAATCATCCAGCATGACTTATCGTTCTGTGCCTTACACTCTTCTAATCTGAATCTGTTTACTTTTAGGAGTGTGCAGATTGGTGCCTAAAATGGAAGTAGATATAAATGGGGAGTCCAGAAGTACCCTGACCACCCTACCCTTGCCTGTGGCTGAGGTGAGCTCCCCAGGAAAAGCAGAGGCGGAGAAGCCTCGCTGCTCCAGCACACCCTGCTCACCCATGAGGCGAACTGTGTCAGGCTACCAGATCCTCCACATGGACTCTAACTATTTGGTTGGCTTCACAACTGGCGAGGAACTCCTGAAGTTGGCCCAGAAGTGCACTGGAGGTGAAGAGAGCAAGGGAGAAGGCTTGCCTTCCTTTCGCTCCAAACAGCTGGATGCAGGACTTGCACGTTCCTCTCGTTTGTATAAAACCAGAAGTAGGTACTACCAGCCATATGAGATTCCAGCTGTCAATGGCAGGAGGCGAAGGCGGATGCCCAGCTCAGGAGACAAGTGCACTAAATCCTTACCTTACGAACCTTATAAGGCCCTCCATGGGCCCCTGCCTCTTTGTCTTCTTAAAGGTAAGAGGGCTCACTCCAAATCTCTGGACTACCTCAATCTAGACAAAATGAACATCAAGGAGCCAGCTGACACGGAAGTGCTACAGTACCAGCTTCAACACCTAACCCTCCGTGGGGACCGAGTGTTTGCTAGGAATAATACATGAATGACTCTCACAGTTTAAGTCACTTTAGGTCAGCCTGCACTTGGCTAGAGAAAATCCACTGTTGTACTCTGTACATGACTCTTCACATTATAGATGGTTATATCAGCTAAGTGTCCCTGGAATATAAAAATTGTTTGGATCAAATTTTGAATACAGGAATGAAATCACAGGTACATGGGGGGAGGGTATCATGCTAGAGCACGCAACTGCAAAGAAAACAGAATGTTGACCGTTAGTTTGTATAGCTCTTTAGCTAGGAAAAAACAGACAAACAAACAAACAAAAAAAGGCTTTGGGACAGTAATTTCATCTTTATGATTCTGACACTCAAATTGGGAATGTTATCTGCTTGGTTGTTGCTGACTTGGTATGATTCATTAGAAATTTATATCTTAAGTACACAAGTACTTCTTGAAACTCTGTATTTTACTATAAAATGTATGTAATGATTTGTTTTATGAAATTTAGAACTTGAACATTGCTGAATTGGACCACTTTTTATTTTTAAATATTGAGTTTAAATATTTTATAACTGGTTTTGCACTGAAAAAAAATTAACATTTCAGATTAAGAGAATAATCTTTCTTCACTTGTCTCAATAATATTATTGAGCAATGAATTTTTTATTTCCGCATGGAAAGTTATTGATCTCTATGGCTGTAAAATATTTCTTTATAGCGTTATTAAAGTGTGTCTTAATAAAATTAAATTTGGGATACAAAGTATTTATTTTACAATGGGCGGGGGGGGGGGGAAGCTTTTCCAGAAAGTTTCCAGTATGAAGTTTTCATAAGTTGAAAAAGTTTCCTTAGTGCTTATTTTCTAATTTAAAATTCACTTGGAACTTTACAATGGAAAGGATTCTTTTAATTGTGGGTTATAGGCATAAGACTGTTTGCATCTGAATTTTCTGTAAGTGAATGGGACTTTAATAGAAGATCTCATGATTTCTACTATTGAATGCTTAAACTAAGTATGAACTTAATTCAGCATGGCATTGGGTCATTCCAGTTTTAGTTCTGTGCAACACAGCACTCATTGAAATTCCAGTTTCTAGGATTAGTGTAGGAGACTAAAGTGCTTCTGTAATTTTAATGGGTTAATCCTGGATTACTTAACAATTTATGTCAATTGCACTGGTTCAATTTGTTGCTAAAGAAATAATGCCCTGGCTTTAGTAACAAATACAGCTCAACTATTCTTGAATATATTTTGGAAAAAATGTATGTAACTTACCTTTTGTAAACATTTCTCTTTCTTTTTTTTTTTCCTTTCACTCTTTTGTTCTTTTTTTTTCTTTTTTGACTCTTGAAGGTGCAATTTATTACTAATCTGGCATCTCTGGCAACATAAAACCGCATATTTTTGTTTTACTGTGGGGAGTGTGAGGTTTCTCGGGTGTTAGCAATCTTGCTTATAAAAATAAGAACACCTTTTAATTAATGAGTGGGTCATTCCTGGCACAATTGTGATTTTTCCTTTAGCCAGAAAGAATGGCAAACTTTATTTAGAGCAAAGTAAGTATTAGGAAACCCTAGGAACTCTTAATCAATGTTTATTGTACTTTTACTAAGGCAAACCATGTGGAAGAGCCTTGGGAGGTTGGCGCATATCTTACTGAGTTGATCAGATTTCTTGGTGGGCTGGAAATTTTCAGCTATTGTATATTTTAAAGTAAATTGCACCTTTGTAACATATTGTATTGATGAATGATCACTAAGATTAACTATATCTATACAGTCAATAGTTTGACAAGAAATAGAATCCTGTCAGATGCCAAAGAGTTGGGATTTTTACGTTTAATGATTAAACACCATTATTTATTGATGACTTACCCTGTGGAACTGTATTATTTCTAACTATGAAATAAAAGGGTGATGTAAACACATACTGTTATGTGGTGCTTTAAAATAGATCCACCATCAACAGGCTAGTTATTGCTTAAGAATTTTACCTAAGCATGTACTTTAAGACCCTAACTTTGTGAAACAAAAACCTGAAACATTTACTTTTGATGTTCATTGGCACTTCAAGACAAGACAAATTATTCCTGGCAATGATATGTATTCCATTTACTAGGGAACCAAACTATTTTCTTGTGTGATTCATTCCTGTCTAGGTGCCTAAATTTCTTGAGTTAAATAAAAATATAGAGCTTTTTTGTTTTGTTATGTGTTTTTACTTAAGGACAGGTGATACTCAGTGGCAAAAAACAAAAGGACTTAACATATAAGATATGGCATATTTTCTGTTTCCTGATGAGTAAAGATAGATAATTTAAATTTTGGTTTCCAAAAACAAAACCAAAAAAACCCTTCAAACCCTAGATTAGTAGGGTTTTTTTTTTTTTTTATTGTTTTGTTTTGGCAAGGATTAAGTCCAGGGCACTCCACCATTAAACTACATCCCCAGCCCTTTTCAGTTTTTATTTTGAAACAGCGTCTCACAAAGTTACCAAGGATGGCCTTAAACTTGTGATCTTTCCATCTCACTTCTTGAGGCACTGGTATTACATGTGTCACTGGGCCTGGCAGTTAATAGTTTTCTAAATGAGTTGCAAAGTCCCTTCATTAGTTCAGTTTCACTTTTTCTCTGCTCCGTGGAATTGTTCTCCTATGGTGGGTAGCATTTTATTTATTTATTTATTTATTTATTTATTTATTTATTTATTTATTTATTTATTTATTTATTTATTTTTGTGAATGGATACAGTATCATTTTATGTTTTTATTTTTATATGGTGATGAGGATCAAACCCAGTGCCTCACATATGTGAGGCAAGAACTGTACCACTGAGCTACTGCCCCAGCCCAGGTAGCATTTCCTTTTTAAAAAAAAAAAACAAAAGGTTGAATCTCTTTTAACTGGGGGGGTGGGGGTTGGGGGAACCTTCTAACATAGTTTCTATTTTTCAACTCTTTTTTAAAAATCCAATTTAATATTACATACTAAGTAGGACATGCTTCTGGCCATATACCTGATGATGTAACCTTACAGTACTTGTTGCCCTAAAACATTGCCATAATATATAACTTTAATCTTTTTTTCAAATGTGCTGTGTGTTCAAGGCTCAGATGATGCATTAAGTAGCAATAGAATTTCAGTCCTTGCCTGAACCTGAGTTGAGCCTCTTATGTTCCTTTTACTTCCATCCAGCAGCACTGGATACAGGGCTTCTCTGGTCAGCAGTCATAGAAGAAAAGACTGAACGTGTAAACCCATTCACCGCCCCCTTCTTCCCACCTCATCTTCTGGACTCCTACTCAACTGGACTACTACTGTTCCATGTCCATCAAGTCCTATTCATTTCTCCCCATGTCCCATAATGTCCATCTGTGGATTGCTGGGTCTTTTTCCTTCCCTGAGATTTACTTAAATGATTTTAATATTTGGCCTTTGGGAAGCTTTTAGAAGATTCTGAATTAATTTTTTAAAGGCAAATTGGTCTTTCTCCAGAGAAGGAATATTTCTTGCCATCTTGAGAAAATCAATGCATTTTTACTTATTTTCTCATCCTAACATCCATTTGTCTAGGAAAGGTTTTTATTCCATTATAACCATTGAACTTTTTATAAGGAAACTTTTGAATCACCCTGGCCTGAGTGGTTTGTCCTCAACAAGAATAAGGAGGAGGAGAGCCCATTACAGTTGATAAATGGTATAAATGTTCTGGAGGAGTTGGGATGGAGAGGGAGCAAGGACGTACATTATTGTAATGCAGAGTACAGTAAGTATTAAGTAAAATTGCCTTTTTAAACAATGTAATTTGATTAGGGAAATAGAAATTGATGAGGAAGATTGTCTGGGAAATACAATAAATGTGATTACAAAACTAGAAGTGGAGGTTGTCAGCACTTAATGATGCACTTCTGGTTGTAATGCAGTTTTTTTTTGATAAGAATTGTGAAATGGACTTCTTTGATATTTTGCATTAGAAAAAAAATTAAGGATTTTTTTTCTGGCTGAGAACAGTAGAAACAATCAAAAGAAGAATGGCTTTGATTTGTTAATATTGAGTTTGCCAAGCCCCTGGACACTACTGTAGTGGGGGAGATGTTAGGATGGTTTTCTTACCATTTTGAAATGACTTTGTACAAGGTTTCCTTAAATGGTTTCAGAGACAAAGTCTGAAACAAAATCTCAACATTGTCACCCCTGATCTTGGGGTTGTGTTTGATGTATAGATCTATGGGAGGGCCCAGGGTGAGAAAAGAGAACTCAGCATCTACTGGGATAGAAGCGAGTAGCTGTGCAGTCAGTGGAGTCCTTAAATGATCCTGGCTGGGGTTACTTCTGGAAAGGAGAGCTTTGATGCTTTTGCTTTTGTGGAAAAGCTAGCAGCACTTTCAAAATTCCTTCTGAATGTTCTCCAGAAAGTGACCTTACTGTGTGTCAGTGGAAAGAGGAGGGAACACTGTGTCCATGATGTTGACCTTTAGTCTGATTGACCAGGAAGAGTATTCTTCACCAAACTTTTATGTTAAAGGATTACACTTGAAAATATATATTTGGAAGACTTTGAATCCTCTACCCCTGGCTTAATGCTTCAGTTAGGCAAAGGAACTTATGCAATAAAAAGTTTTTTGATCTCTATCAAATCAGTTCCCAGCTAAGGGGAGAGCATGTACACCATCAGGCATGTGGCAGACATCACTAATCCATCCCTGCAGCCTCACTTGGAGTCCAGTGGCCTTGTTATCTTTCTTAACTATCACACAACTACTACAGAATTGATAGCAATGCCTAGGAGGTACAACATGTTTGCCCACCACATTCTAACACCCCTTGCAATGGATGACAATGTAAAATGAAAAATGGTATGAACATTCTTGAGTAGGAGACCATTTTGGACACTGCCTTTTAACCCCAAAGCAGAGGAGATGGTGCTGCCAATGTCACCACAAAGCATGGACTGAGCATGTGCAGGCACTCTGGGAATAGAGGGTTTGAGTCAGTTTTCACCTTCAAGGACAGGCCTATTTGGAGAGGTGGATAAGATACCACAAGACCATGCAAAGTCAGTGTTTTGTAGATTAAATAGCAATTTAAGAGAGGGAAGCTTCAGTCCTGTGGGACTGAAATCCAAGAAAGAAGTCTTGTTCATTTTTCTCTCAGTAGCCTACCCAGCTTATTGATGTGCTCACTTACATTGCTGATCTGTATAAAAGCTGAAATGTAAAGATTTTTTTTTTCCTCAAAAGTGCCTTTGTAAAAAAGTCTGGGGAGACAAACATAGGCAGAAGGCAAAATCTTAATAAGTGACTCTGAGAAGGGTCAGGGCATGCCAACTGTGTTCAGTTGTTACCTCTACTGTGTCCTCGGTTTGTCTGCTAAGATGAATTGACCTACTTTCTAGAAAAGCTGAAGCATTGAAGCTGGTAAATAGATATTTTTTTGTGACTTTTTCCTCTTGTCTTGCCATTCTCTTTATTCTTATGTACAGATGACACAGGAGGTTTACTTAAGTATTTAAGGTCAGAAGCACATTAAAAATATGTACTCTTGATTTAGTGCATACAAAAAATGTAATCGAAAGTATTTTGCTCAAGAAGTTTCCTAATGCAGCAGCTTTGTTTGCAGAATCCCTTCATTAGTTTGGTCTTACTTTGTCTTACTACTACATGGAATTGGACCCTATGATAGATAGTATTTTATTGAGAGAGAGAGAGAGAGAGAGAGAGAGAGAGAGAGAGAGAGAGAGAGAGAGAGAGAGAGGTTAGGCTGGATCTTTAAGCTGAAAAAAAAATCTTGTCTAACAGTTTCTATTTCTAAACTCTTTTAATAAATCTTTTGAAATAATAAACTTACAACCCTAGATTAATTGGTAAATTTCTGTATTTTACTTTTGAATATTTATAAAATTTTAGTTCTGATATTCTTAATGTTTTGCATATATTTTTAGTGTAATGCTGATCTAATAAGAGTTGAATGCAGTTATAAGTAAAAATTTCTAAGGGATTTTCTCTACATTTACAAAAGGATGTCTATAGAAACGAACAACAGTTCAGTGGTAAGCCACATGAGGTAAATGTACTCATAGTTCAAAAAGAAATTCATCAAGCATGACAAATTGACTTTTTTTTAGGAGAAAAGGACATTTTATGTTACATTTAATATAATATTGCCTAAATACTATTTGACCCCAAATTTATGTGCTAAATGCTTGCTGGGACAAGCTGTCAAAGTGACATGATGAGAATACATTTTATTCTTCAGATTATTTAAAAGATCTTCCTTTGATTTTTTTTTTTTAAAGAAACATTTGACTAGAATAGAGATCCCAGAATATAAACAGTAGAAAATATGGCTTTTTCCACTGGGCCGGTGACTTTGTATAGAAACCAAAGGAAATGCTGCAAATGATTATGGCTCCTCATTTGTGAATGAGAAGTTGTAAGAGTGACCTCATTTGTGTTGTGTTAGGTGAATAGTCAGATAGTAATGAGACAAAGCCTCTTTGTATACTGCAAACAGATGTAGTGATTAGGAGGCTATGTGGACTGCTCAGAGAGCTATGATGGATTTTATGTAAGAATGTATAAAAACATCCGTGTTTGATATAGAAACACTAAGATCAGACTTCTACAGTTTATCTGTAGGAGCTGATATTCCTTAGACTCAGTGAGTTCAGCCTTTATTTAATCACCACATATTTACTGTAATTTTAGGTACCAGCCTCAGTGGTAAGTCATGGGAATACAAGTGAGGACACAGAAGCCATAGTCAGGAGCAAATAGTTTGCATTTTTAAATAAATGATTCTCATAAACAGAAGATTTTTTGAGCACCCAGAGGAGAACCTTCCTAATTCCACATGTGTGTTGGCAACACTTCAGCAGGGGAGCTGTTTTTGAGCCTGGAGAGTAAAGAGTTTGCCAGGTGGGTAAGACAGGTGAGGGCCTACCAGTCAAAGGAGGATGCTCATATAGGAATATAAACCTGACAAAGATCTCAGGGTCCATCCATTCTACTTTTCCTGCTGTCGAAACCAACCTAGACAGAAGTGTGTCATGTGTCTTTCTAAAAATTTTTAGGAGAGGAAATCATGCTGAGTCACTACCACTGTAGTTTGACCCACATTTTCTGGTGAAAAACTTAGCAGTGAAATTTCAAATCATAGTATTTAAACTGCCAAACTAAATTTTGCAGTCAGCATTTTT